ATCTCTCAGTCGTCTTCGACACCATCAACCATGAGATACTCGTCGGGTGGCTAAGGTCAAGGTTCAGTGAATACGGCACTGGGGTGGATCGAGTCAGTACCTACATGGTCGATCACAGTTCAGTTCATCAAGCTGGGTGACGAACAGTCATCCCCTATGCCGTCGCTAGTTGGCATACCACATGGGTCTGCTCTCGGGCCCTTCCTATGTTCAACATATGTCTCTCCAATCGCCGATGTCATCTCATCGCATGACATCAAGTTCCATCAATATGCTGATGATACACAATTATGCACCGCAGTGAAGTCAAAGTTATATATTGGAGAGCCTCGGTAGATTGCACGTGAGCGGTGCACGTGTGGTTTGCACAAAACGAAATGCTGCTTAATCCCAAAAAAATCGAAGGTTCTGCTAGTTGGCACTCAGGCTCAGGCGAAAAAGTTTGTGGGAGGATCAAGTGTGGCGGTCGCAGACTCCAGGATCCAGTTGTCTGCTCATCTAAAGAGCTTCGGCACCAGACCCAACCAAAATCTCGTTTGATCACCACGTGCAAAATCTAGTCAGGTCTTGCAATCTTCATATCAGGGCTGTACAACACATTCGGCCACTATTGAGTTGTGACATAGCCAACACGGCAGCGTGTAGCATAGTATGGACAAGGCTCGATTATTACAACTCACTACTATACGGGACGTCTGGCAAAAACATTACCAAGCTATAGTGTCGTGACGGGTGCTGCAAGATCTAAGGACCATGTCCGTCCAGTGCTCGCTGAGCTGCATTGGTTTCCCGGTCGTTGAACGAATACATTATAAGGTCGCAACCATTACACACAAAGTTTGTGCCACAAATGAATCACAATATCTTTCTAATCTCGTAAAGGAGCGTAAACTATCACGCAAACTCCAGTCATTCTCACTGCAGCTTTTGGCTGGCAATCGAACAAAGACGGTCATCGCGTGGCGCTTTCAGGTGCACTTCTGCGGCCGTCTGGAACGCTCTTCCTTCCGATATTAGGAAGCCACTGGAGAAATGCACTTTTAAATCACCCAGATTGAAAGCTTATTTATTTAGAACTGCTTTTTGTGTTTAGTCTGTTGTCCTTTTCCCGTACCTCCGATTAGCATGGCTGGCTACGTACGGTGTGAAAGAAGTTCAACATACATACATTGCCGTTCCTGCGGAATGGAGTGTATATGTGCCTGAGGATTGGAGGGAGATGCGGTTTTGCAGGCACATAGTGGCCAAGCCATGCAGTGCTTTCTAGGTTAGTAAAACGGCAACCTTACATTGGATGTGGAAGCGGACCGGTAGCCAGTGCAAGCCACGGAGGGGAGGAGTAATGTGTTCAGATCGGCTAACCCGCCGGATCATCATCATATCTACTTTTAAAATCTAGATTGAAAATGAATTTCATTTAGAACTGCGTTTTGTCTTTAGTTTGTTGTCCTTCCCCCACACCTCCAATTAGCACGGTTGGCGATGGACGGTGCAAAAAAAGGTTCAACACACGTACGTAGACACATCTGGGCAGCTGCATTCTGCACGAACTGGAGTCGCTGCACCGATCTACGTGGGGTTTCTCTGTCTGCGTAGAGGGTGTTCCCATCACCAAGGCGTGTTGAAGTACGATCACGCCGTCTCCGTGATCGACGTGGCATGGGAAGGCCCATGTGCAGCATTTTGGTCTGACAAAAAACTGGCATTAATTGGTAATTCATGAATAACTTAAAAAATGTGAATAAATTAAGGAAGTAATGGCAAAGTTACAAACATCTACGTTTAATTACCGCTCATCTGTAAATTGAGCGATCGTATTTGGGTCGATGGCGCCTGTCGTTTTGCAAGGACACATGACTCTCCAGCCCGGCGGGTTTATTTATCCCTGAGCGCTGACTTCCGGGATTAGCAACGAGTCTCTTGAAGTTGCTTAGCAGCGTGACTTCAGTCACTTGACCTGCACTCGAAGGTCTTAAATACACTAACCCATACACCCATGAGTTGGACAGAGCCTGGAATTATCACGGTGTGAGAGCACGACCGGTAATGTTGGACGAACGGTGGAGTGGCGGCCACAGGAGACGAAGCTGTCCGAGAGCGAGCACGTCCCACTGCGGAGACGGAGTGGTGAAATCCGCTCGTGTGTATGCGTGTACGTTGAACTTCTCTCGCACCATACGTAGCCAACCATGCTCATCGGAGGTGCGGGAGGAGAATCAACGAAACACAAAAAGTAGTACTAAAGAAATAAGCGTGAGTGGCGATGTAGTCTGGTACCACGTTACATTTGACACTTAACAAGCAATGTTTGTACGTTGAACTTCTTTCGCACTGTACGTAGCCAACCAGTGGGAAAGGACACCAACATAAACACAAAAAGCAGTTCTAAAGAAATGAGTTTTCAATTCAGATTTAAAACTCCATAGCTACAGTGGCTTCATGATATCGGCAAGAAAGAGCGTTCCAGACGGCCGCAGAGGCACATCCAAGGGCATGCAATGCGGCGACCGTCGATGTGTGTAGCAGCCAGAATTTACTGATGGGAATTTGCATCGCAAGACAGAGAGAGATGATTACGGCCATAGGAAGTAGTTACAACAATGTTATAGAGGAAAATAGAGCCGTTTACAACGCATTAAGTCTGTAAACACTGCCCTAGATAAAGTGAATCAATAGGTGCCTAGTGATGCTGTTTTTTTATACCATTCCTATAGCTACCACGGTCATCTAATCTCTCATGAATCAATGTTTTAGTTGAGTCTGTCGTTTAGTTGCTTGACCATCTACCGCACCTCCCATTAGCAGGTTTGGTTACGCACGGTGCAAAATAAATTCTACGTGCTTACATACAAGCTATCATCCAACAGCAGAGAGATCACGGCTCACGATGTTGATGATGATGATGAAGGGCTTAGCCATGGGCAGCGGCCTGAGAGTGTGTGAGTGCTAACAGCTGCTCAGAATGACGCACTGGTGGCCTCATGATCAGTATTTCCCTGAGCAAGGAAGAACGATCACCTGCTGTGTTGATGTACACGAGCTTACATGATGATAATAATAATAAAATAATAATGCAAAGTAAGAAAAAGCTTGCACAATAGAAGAAGACCTGATGCAGACAGTGGTGAGAAGGAAACTGGCACTATTTGAAAACACATGGAGGATGGACAATAACAGGAAAATGTAAAGTGTGTTGCTGTTGTTGTTCGAATAAATGGAATGGATGGGAAAGAGAGGAAGACCCAACAGAGAGTGGCTTGACGATGACGACGACATGAAGAGATCGGTGCCAGACAGATGTGGCGCTACTTGAGCATATTGGCACAAGACAGAGAAAAGTGGAAAAAAATGACGGAACGTGCAGCGGGCACCTATCTGCCCATAGATTGTGATGATGATTGATTATTATTATTATTATCATGTACAGCCTTGTTGTTCATCCACTGCTGGATGAAGGTCTTTCCATGCCATGTTAGTCATAAGGAATTGTTTGACCATACTTTACCACGCAGGTTGGCTACGTACGGTGAGAAAGAAGTGCAACATACATACATGCAAAGGGGGGCCCAGGGTCAGGTTAGTTGTCTTCACTCGCCACTGATGTCGGCTAAATCAGGGAATCGAACTCGCGAGTGCCGATGTATAGGGACGATGTTGACATGTTGACATAGACCTCGCACAAGCGGAGGCCCTGAACCAGTTCAAATATTCATCCTTGATATTGGCCGTGCGAGGAAATAAAAATTGGGTCGCCGGGTTCGAATGGTGCCGCGGTGGTGAAATGTTAACTACCTCGCCTGGTATACAGGAGGTCGCCTTTATATTTGTAGTTTTAATGTTTTCGCCGTGGTCGCGCAGATTTTTATCCAGCTCCTCCAGTTTTCCCCTCAACATTTAGAAACATGGCTGCTATACATTTACACGTGATAAGCCACTTCATTGGGCCATCATCTGTGGCGAGGTCGCTTCTGAATACGAGCTACATAGCTCAGTGAGCCTTACCTGGTAAAATAAAACCGTGTACATTATTTGGTTCTTTCGGTAAAGTCACGTAGATAAAAAAAATTATAAAAGGGGTTAGCCTCTAAAGGCAAACTGTTTATAAAGGTTTGGAGATGGGCGTAGCCCAAGTGTATCAGCAGCACCAGCAGCAACGCCAATGCAGCAGCAATGCCAATGCAGCAGCAATGCCAATGCAGCAGCAATGCCAATGCAGCAGCAATGCCAATGCAGCAGCAACGCCAATGCAGCAGCAATGCCAATGCAGCAGCAATGCCAATGCAGAAAAGAGCCGCCAAGAAATCCCTGCACCCCGCTCCGCACACCACACTGCTGACGGTGGAGATTGATTGACAAGAAAACACAAGTCACATCATGACCCAAAGTGGTTGATGACATCTTTCCAATGATTGCTGAGTCTATAACCTTCCTCTCGGTGTCTGTATAGCTGCGCCGATCTAAACAAGTGTAAAATGAGTCAATCGTCACTGATGTTGCCCGTGAACGGGAATCAAACTCAGGGCAGAATCAGCACCTTGATTTGGACTGGAAGAAGAATCCGATGAGCTATGAAGCGTTTTTTAAACAGATGTCCAGTAGGGGCGGTTTAGCAGGGTTGCACCACCGCTCCCCACACACAGAGACGCTTGCGTGCCCGTCTGCGCGCGTATATGTGTCTGTGTGCTTGTCCGTGTGTGAGTGCGTGCGCACGTGTGTGTGCGTGCGCGCCTATCCATGTGCGTGCGTGTGCGTGTATGTGTGTTTGTGTGCATGCCCGTGCGTGTGCATGTCCATGTGCGTGCGTGCGTGTATGTGTTTGTGTGCATGTGCGTGCGTGTATGTGTGTTTGTGTGCATGTGCGTGCGTGTATGTGTGTTTGTGTGCATGTGCGTGCGTGTATGTGTGTTTGTGTGCATGTGCGTGCGTGTATGTGTGTCTGTGTGCATGTGCGTGCGTGTATGTCTGTGCATCTCCGTGTGTGTGCGTGCGTGCGTGCTCGCCTGCGCACGGCGCCGGTGCGGAGGTTGAGGCGCTCGGTGGCCAGGGCGAGGACGCGCTCCCAGTCGGCCATCACGCGCCGTGGGATGAGCAACCGCGCCGGAGGCACCACCAGGTCCCCGTTGGTGAACAAGCTGCCAGGGGTGGAGAGACCAAATCATTCACTCGCCAAAATCATTCACTCACTCGTGAACTCGCTCATTCAGTTGAACACGTAGTAGGGCTTTCGCGACAGATATTATCCAAAATAAAGGGTTTTTTGGGGTTAGATCGCGTAAAAATAAATGTGTCGTTATACAAGCCACCACCCGACACAGCCAATTAGTAAGGTTTGCCACGTAAACAAAACATGCCGATTTGTTACTAGCACAGCACACCGGTGTGTTGGAGAGTAAACCCACAACATTTACAATGAATTTACACTCATTTACTCACCAAATAATTCACTCACTAAATTATTCACTCGCTCACTCACCAAATCATTACCTCACTTATTCACTCACTCACTAAATCATAAATTCACTCATTAACTCACTCACCAATGAATTCTCTCACCTGCTAATTCACTCACTCATTCACTCACCAAAGCATTCACTCCCTCACTAACTCACCAAATCATTCACTCACTCAATCACTCAGTTGCTCACTCACTCGTTCACCAAAGCGTTTACTCACTGACTAACCCACTCAATGATTCATGCACTAAAGCATTCGTTTGCTCAGTCACGGCCAAAAAGTCTACATCCGAAAATTACCCATGTAATTCTACCAACACCATAAACAATAGCCTTTCAGCCAAGTGAAAGCCCATTGAGACGGGTCTGATTTGCATGGAAAATGTACGGTTAATTATTAAAGCAATCAATTGTGTGCTTTTTCCGTGCCTTCCCATTGCTAATCATTGCTAGATGGACACTGTATAGTATTATTAAAATAGGCTCTGCCTGTGGTGGAGTGGTGGTACAAAGGTTAGTTTGGCAAAGTGTGGTCAAACGACCTCCACAGTCGACTCAACGTGGGAAGGCCTTCATTCAACAGTCAGAATCAGAATGTTTATTCGTACTGGTGGAATCGGATGAGCTCCAAAGCTCTTTTTCAAAGATGTACAGTTGGGGCTGGTCAGAACGTTACAACAACAATAAACAAAAACACGATAGGAGTGCAAAGTATAAGAAATGAAAATAAATCACTTTTAACCAAAAAAGAATACAAATAAAACTAACCTATTTTTTTATCTTACCAGGTGTAAAGGCCCACAGAGCTGTTAGCGTTATCTTTTTTGCAGAAGTAACCTGGCTATTACAAATTGTTGCCTCAACGAAGTGGCTTATCATCATCATGTGGACAAAGAAAAGGCCTAAAGCAGTGCTTCTTCACCTGAATGCAGAGGTTTGATGAAACACTTACGTGCCCGTGCTAAATTTGTTTTCGATCATTTACCTCCTAAAAAAGTCTGGCCATGTCCCGCACCCCCAGACAGGGCATCACGCACCCCCAGGTAAAGAACCACTGGCCTAAAGCGACGACGACGACGATGCTTGTGGCCAGGCTACGGCCCGTCGCTCTTCGCGTACAGAAAGCACGCGGTGACGACCTCGCGGTTCGCGTGCTGACCCGATGTGGGCCAGTGCATTGTGGTGGGTGACCCCCGCCCCCCCCCCCCCCCCCCGGGTTAACCCGCTCAGTAATTATTGCCGGGCGGGAGATTAATGAAGCTGCGTCGTCGACTGCCTCTGAGCGTAGGCGGGGGAGACAAATCTCAGTGAGGTCGTCGCCGGCGGCAACGTTGCCAACATTGGGGACCCCCCCCCCCGCACCCCGGTACGTCTCCCCTTGCCGCGGAGAAATTGGACGAGTTATGTCAGCGGGGTCTCGTCCGAGTCGAAACAACGAAATTTTAGGGGGGGGAGGAGTTGCTTAATTGGACGAAGGTCCTCCTCGCACACTCTCTTCTGTTAAGCAATGTGCATATTGCCTACTAGAGTTGACCATCCGATGTCACCAATAAACTAATCGGGGTTTTAACTTTAATGCAGCTTATTCCCCTCTTCCTTTGCCAAGCCTTTTACGGAGGCCGCTGGGTTCATGGACTTTCGGCAGCAGCAGAAGATGTCCTCCACTGTCGGCGATTGTCGTCAGTCGTCGTCATCGTCGTCACGATGTCCCATCCGCTGCTGATGCTTCCGTGTCATTCCTCTCCGTGCTGTTGCCTCCTTCCTCCACTCCGACACTCCTTGTCGGTCGCCCACCAACCTCTGTCACCTACCAGTCTTTTAGCCATTCACTCTGCTCGATTCCTGTTTTCCATTGCATCCGTCAATTAGGGCGCCGCGGTGGCGAGATAGCTATGCAGGAGGCTCCTGCGTTCGAGCCCAACCCTGACATTGTCTGTATATTTGGAGTTTGCAAGTTCTCCCCGTGGTTGTGTGAAATTTTCTCCGGGTCCTGCTGCTTTTCCCTCCACATTTCCGCACGATAAGCCACTTCGTTGGGCTATCATTTGTGGCCAGGTCGCTTCTGAGTAAGAACTATATAGCTCAGTGGGCCTTACTTGATTAAACACAAATAGTAAGTGCAATTCTTTCCTTCTACTTCTGTGTTATCAGTTCCACCTTTCATGTTCTTGCTTATGTCTTCACTTCCTATTCCATCTCCCCTTGTGACTCCAAGTAAAATATTCGCGAGCATGTCAGTTCCATAACCTGGTCGCGTATATTTTTTTTGGTGTAGTTTCTTTAACACGGTTTGTGTTAATGTGTACGGCCGTCAAATGTTAACATTTGTCCTCAAGACAAGTCTGTCGCGTGCATTTGCTGCATCGTGAACTGTGTCCATTGACGCGGAAAAGAAGCTCCCAGCTCACTTGCAGGTCAGACGGTTAAATATTTTAGACCAAAAAAACATAAATAAATTGAGCTCTCATTTGCATTTTAAATAGCCCTGCTGTCTGTGCACTGAGCCCAATTAGCCAGGAGCTGAGTCATCACGGGGGGTGGGGAGGTAGGGGGGAGGTAGGGTGGAGGTAGGGTGGAGGTAGGGTGGAGGTAGGGTGGAGGTAGGGTGGAGGTAGGGTGGAGGTAGGGTGGAGGTAGGGTGGAGGTAGGGGGGAGGTAGGGGGGGTCTTTCCGGCAATCAATTCCCCCCCTGGGGGAGCTGTTGCTGTGGAGTAGCAAGTCCTCCACGTTCACCCGGTGTGAACTCTGATATTCCACTTATCTACGATAACGGATTATTTGTGGTATTATTATTTGGTGATATTGCATTGGCAGCGGTGCACAAGCACGCGCGAGGAAGAAAAAAACCTGCAGCCAAAATATAAATAGTGATATTTACAAAAAATGGACAATGGCCATTCTTCATGCCACTTGGTTGGACGAAATGCCATTATCCCCAACGTCACCTGTGATATATTCCATGGGACATTTTTTGCGAGTATCAAAGTACACGCTGATATATTTGTTTCCCTATAAAGTGAGCGTAATGATGAGCATGTTGCCATTTACTGAATGGACATTTGGTGGTTTGACTCCAAAGTTGTGTAACAGCGTACCTGCAAATATTGTTATTGCACCCACAATTTATCAATTTATGACTCACTTAGAGACATTATAGGTAGTGTTTGAATGACTCGAATTAACTGAACTACAAGGAGAGCATCCTCGACCACAGTTTACATTTTCAATTGCGTTCCCGTTCGTTGCTTGCGTCGTCTATCCCGTATATTTATATTTAAACGTTGTATTTAGTCTGCAATCCCTCCCTGGCCGAGCAATCGTCTCAAATTCCCCTTTGTCCTGGCGCCTCGAGCTGTAATCCATGCGAGGCGCGGTCTAAACAACAAACGACGGTGGTGATAACGAACCGATCTGAGCACCCTGCGCAGAAGATAGTCCCTCGAGTTTCAGGCTCCGGAAATCACAAATGTGTCTTTAGTTCGTGCCATTTTAGTCAGCCGGGGGAGCGGGGGTGAGGGGGGTGGTGGTCATTTGTGACACGTGCAAAGAGGTGCAGGAGCACGTGGTCATGTGGTGGCGCGTGGAGGCAGGGCGTGAGCCCCGTGACTCACAATATGAAGCAGGGCTCAGGGGCGCACTTCCTCCACCGGGCGGACACCACCACTCTGCTATGCAGCACCGGCTTGATCTGAGCGCAGCACAACAACGGCCACCCGTTACCATCTTCATTCGGGTCGCTTGTCGAAAGCATTATCGTAAAAAAAACTGAAAAAAACTTTTTTTATTTAAATAAAAACTAACCGAAACTATTTTTGCTATTTTTATTTTAGCATGTAAGGCCCACTGAGCTATACAGCTCTTTTTCAAAAGCCAGCTGGCCACAAATGATCGGTCAACAAAGTGGCTTATCATATGGAAATGTATAGCAGCCAAATACTCTAAATGCGTGATGTTTATTCTAAATGTGAAGGGAGAAAAGCGGAAGATCCGGAGATAATTCCACACGACCACGGGGAGAACATGCAAGCTCAAAATATGCAGGCATCAGGGTCGGGATTGAACACGTGACATCCTGTATACCAGGAGATGTAGTTAACATCTCGCCACCGTGGCGCCCCTACTAATGTGTCGGTATTCAGGGCTGTGCTCGAGCTCTGTGTTTTCGCTCCACGTGCCGGAAGCTTCTTCGATTCAGTTGCTGAAGAAGATCCCAGCACGTGGGGGGAAACTTAGGCCGTCATGCCCGAACAACGTGTGGCACCTCCTGAAAACACAACGCAGGGCTATGCGTGCTGTGATTAAAAAAAAACTACAAAGTTCATGCCCCTTGTTGAGACCGGATAGCCTCGTGGTGCCTTCAAACTCTCTTTCAGCACGGTTCTTGCATTGAAAGGTCAGGGGAATTTTTTTTCTTTGTGAATGTTTGGCTGTTGGGAGTAAATCTGGGTATGAGTTGAAAACCCGGTCGAATGAGAATGTAATGAAATCTTTCATGTGAATATAACATCTGCTTATTATTAACTTATTTAAAGTAATCTTGATTTGAAGCTTTCGTGACTGCAGGAATCCATACTCTTTGGTTATTTCGGTAAAGTCACGTAGGTATAAAATAAAATAAATCACGACGTTTCGGGCGCAACACAAGCGTCCGTCATCAGGTGGGAAAGCATGGTCTGCTGCTGATGCAGACTATCTGCATCAGCAGCAGAGTACTGAGTGTATACCTTGGGAACCTTATGTGAAATACAGCATTATCATCATCCACCATCATATTGTGCCATCATCCACGATCACCGATCATGCATCACTCAATCGTCATCATTGACAAGATCGTAACAGACCATTGGTCGTGCTATATGTGCTGAGCAGGATGACAAATTGTCAGCCGGGATGCATCAAACATCGCGGATGATCCCAGCTGGTGGTGATGCAGCCTCCGGCATGGTGAAGTGTGTGGCTGCATGGAGACCGCATCTCTGAGTGTAATCATTTTGATTCTTTATGTTGCACGTGAGCCATCCAGTCAAATAGATAGATATAAATATGTATGTTGAACTTCTTTCGCACCGTACATAGCCAATCTTGCTAATCGGAGATGCGGGGGAAGGACAACAAACTAAACACAAAAATGAGTTCAAAAGAAATGAGTGTTCAATCTAGATTAAAAGAGCATATCCCCAATGATGAGTTAATATACATTACAGCACATATAGTGGTACATTTCAGTTGGTTGTGTTACTACATTTCACGGGTTAAATGATCTAAAATATGCAGACAATAATGAGGCTTACTCTGGTGTCTAGTCTTGAGTTTACACACATGGATCATTTGATGTTTATTTGTAGATTGGCAGAGGTAAGGAAATGACAAGATGTGTGATGTCAGGAAGTGAGGCAGGGTTACAACCCTGGAGATGCGTGGCTATTTCCAGGTACTGGTAGCAGTGACGGCGTGTTCATGTATGGAAACTGCATTTCTGAGTGTAAATGCTTCGTGTTCCTGAGTTTTAAGTAAAAAGCCACTCTTCGTTTGGAAAATGGAATCTTTGACTCGTTCCTTTAACCCGCCATGCAACCGTTGAGTGACGAGTGCAACACGTGGTGTAAATAGATCAGATTAAGTATCACACTCTCAAGAGTGCAGCCCAGAGAGCAAATGCTTAACGTATGGAACATGATCAGAACTCGCCCATGGTGAGTGCTACGAATCCGGCGACCCAAGTTCGATTCCCGCTCGTGGTCACCGAAACTAAACCGGTCCTGAGCCTCCCCCCCCTAGGTAGACTCAGGCCTCAAATGACTACCTGTTGTGACGTACAAACATCGCCATCCCCACTTGTGCGCCACGTCAGCCTTCAACAGGAGCCACTCGCTCACAGCACTTGCCCCAACAGTCTGTTAGGCGTAAGGGTGAGTGGGGGAGGAGAGAGTTTTTCACTGATCTGGAGGAATGATCGTGACTTAGGACAAGCCATGTAAGATTGGGGATATTGCTGCTGCTGTTGGTTGCTTGCTTGTCTGTTTACACATTCTATAGGGGTGGCACGCCTGTCGATGGACACCCTCATTGCCCTGCACGTGCTGGAGGAGGAGGCGGTCACGTGGCTACGTGGGGCTGACAGTCCATCCACAATATAACATCGATGCTACATATGCGTTTGTTTAACAATTATAATTTATTGTCAATGTGCTGCTCTAGCTGCGTAAAGTCACGTGTAAAAAAGAAGCATTCGCTAAATAAACCACACACAAACACGATTTCCAGATTGAAAACTAATTTCTTTTGAACAGGATTTTGACGCGTTTAGTTTGCGGTCCTTCCGCCCCCGGCCACCGCCACCTCCAATGAGCACGATTGGCTACGTACGGTGCGAAAGAAGTTCAACATAAATACAGGGAACATTAAGCACGGTTGACACCTCCACTCGCAAGGGAGCAACACAACCTTCCAGCGAGTACAACGGTCAACGTGACGACATCACACTTACGCCTCGATTTAACACCGAAACAGGAGAATTTCTCCACAACTCTGGCTCTCGCCTGATGATGCCAGTTGTAATTACTGCGAAACGTCGTACGTGAATTGTGAATGTGGGTTTACTCTCCAACACACTGGTGTGCTGTACTAGTAACGAATTGGCACATTTTTGTTTACGTGACAACCCTTACTAAATGGCTGTGTTGGGTGGTGGTGAGTTTATATATTTACGCATACCTGTCAACCCCTTATCGGTGCCTATCCTTATTACAGACCAATTCAGACCTTATTGGTCACCTCGTGCCCTTATAAATCGCAACGTTCATCCTACAACGTCCCATTACAAGGGAGAAATACAAATAAATAGACAAAAACTATTTTACTACACAACTGTGTTATGTATTAATTTTAATCATTGGTGTCAATTGTACGACTTATCATGCTATTGTCTGTAATCTTGCATGCTGCTGCTTAACTTAATAAAAAAAATAGCCATCAACTTTTCTTATTTGGCCACATGAATGTTTTGTTGTTGCCCATATTGAAACGGCTGTACGCCGTATGGACCTGAAAACGCAATTTGCCTGTTCAAAAATACGGGGGTGTTAAATCGTATGGGTTGACAGCTGCGTGCACGCGACTTAACCCAAAATCACCTCTATGGTGGATGCTTTTGTCCCCTCCCCTCAACCACTTCCCTCCGTCCCGTCGAGGCCGCCACAGGGGGCGCTGCGATGCGGCCCTCGCCTGTTCCTGGCATTGCCCCAACCTCCCTCCAACCATCGATCGACAAGCCCCTCGGGGCCGCAACGATGACGACCCATCCCGCCCTGTCCTGAGCCACCGTGTCGAGGATGAGTGGCAATGGACCGGGGAAGTCTCTTGCGCGCGTGATGAGAGTGGAGTCACGGTCCCGTTGTCCCGTCCCAGCCCGTGTCATCACGGGCTAGTTTGGGTTTTTGTTGTTTCCGTGCGAACTTACATATCCGACCGTCGCGTTTCCGCCCTCGACCAATCAAAGTGTCAATTTCTATCGACGTCCACGTATCCACCATCTTTACATATCCGCCTATACAAGGTGTCGGCAACCGAAAAGGAGCATTTTTTTTCGAATTCGGTAAAAAAAGAATCAATGCATCAAAGGCCGCAATGCACGTGGTGAATACGAGACAGTGGTTCTTAAATCTTGACTTAAAGCTTTTGTGACTGCAGGAATTCATATTCTTTGGGTCTGTCGGTAAAGTCACGTAGATAAGTACAAATGAATAAAAATAATAAATATTAAATAAACAAAAAACTACGACGTTTCGATGGGGGAAAGCTGCTGAATAGAGACTGTTCTACAGGTTTAGAATGGGTGTAGTCCACGGGTCATAAACGAAGTGGGCGGGACTAGTTATGTTAATGTGAGTAATTAGCATGTCAATGTAAGATCGGAGAGCCGCCTCCACGACGAGTGCGCGGGTGGCTAGCCCCGCCCACTTCGTTTATGACCCTAGGACTACTACACCCTGTAAACCAGTCTGCATTCAGCAGCTTTTCCATTATTTCCTCCTGATGATGATCGCTTGTGTTGTGATCGAAATGTCGTAGTTTTTATTTTATTTTATATTTATTATTTTTATTCATTTGCACCTATCTACGTGACTTTACCGAAAGACCCAAAGAATACGGAGGTCCTTCATAACTAACGTCACGAAGCGATCCTAGAGGAGCCGCATGTGGCTCCGGAGCTGACCCCTGACCTATACTGTACTTCAGTCCACAGCGAGTGGGATATGCGACGTTTAACACAATAACCTGGGGGTCACGCAGCTGTGTGTTGGCTTCATTAATTATTGTACGGCATCGTGTGTCACGCATCGCTGTGGAGAGCCCAGTTCAGCTGGTGCACTTCGTGATCCGGCAGAGATTGGCGTTATTAACCCTTCCCCCGTTCCGATGACGACCGTGTATGTGTATGTCATCGGAACAGAACCGGAAGAAAAATTCAAATAAAATAACATAATCAGTGCCGAGGCTCCCGCAAGGCCAACGCGGGAGGGAGGGAGGGCGTGTGGCACAGTTTGGCGCCAGCTATCATAGAGTGCAGCGGTCGTGTCACTAGTTCTCTGCGGTGAGGAGCGATGCCATTAAAAACAACGGCGCTGCTACTGCACATCCCTAAATAAAATTAACGCTGTGCTGCTTGCACATTCCGAGATTCAGAGG